TTTTTTTTTCCGTACGCAGAGAGATATACGTAGGCATACTTTTTTATTTAGTTTCATTATTTCACTCTAGCTCTCTGAAGAAAAAAAAAAAAAAACAAATAAATAATTAATTAAAAGCGAAAAATTACGAGATGCGAAAGAAATAAAGAAAAAGAACGAGAGAAAGTAAACTGGGCGAAAAAGTAATGGCATTTTATACCCCGTCGCCGGCGCGTTCTTTGTCACGTTGTGAGTTTTCCACGCGGAGCTTGCGAGATTCGCCAACATCTTAGCTTTTTTGAACCGATGAGAGAGGGAAGAGCAAGTTGAGTCCACAGATTCAGTTTGCACTTGTCGCTCTCGCGTGTGTCGTTTTATAAATTTTCCTTTCCATGTCTCTTAAGAATCTCGACCAACTCAGATTAGCATGTCACGAATCTCGACTCTTTGCTGGAACAAATTCAATATGTATGTACGTACACGGGTACGGCCGGCGCACGTTTATTTATGTATCATTATATTAATTCTATGTTTGTTGTAGTTTTTGTCGTTCAAATTTTTATCGTCTTCTAAAGAAATTATTTTTAAAAAAACGGGATCGGACACCGGCCCGCTCTTATCAGACTTAGTCTTCTTTTTTTTTTTTCTTAATTATAAAATTCATCGTTTTGTTTTGTTTTTACTTCGTTGACACGCAAAATTTTATGGTACACCGAATGACGACAGATATGTGGGCGCAGTTACTCTCGTCTGCACTAATTCGTTCGTTCTAAAAGTAAACAATTATCCCATCGCGCGTCCCCATCGCCCATGCAATACCTCAAAACTGTACAGTTTGGAAAGAGTCAAGAGTGTTTGTTTTACCGAGTTGAGTTTGTCATATTTTAAAAAGAAAAATTGTTTTAACGGTTTTTAATTTTAGGAGTTTTATCTGTTGGATTACAGCTTTGAAAATCTTGATTCTTTCTTAGTCTTTTTTTTTCAATAATAAGCATGAAAGCAGTATTGAAAAATAGTATATAATCCATTCAGATTTTTATAAATTTAGGCGATGAATCGGATGCGTAAGATAGGGTTTGCGCGAAAGGGCGCCGCGTCGCACTGTATAAAATAATGGTGTGCACTGCACTTGATATTAATATGATGAAGAAACGAAGGATGCTCGAGAAAACAATAGGAGTAAAAGTAAAGATTATGAATGAAAAAGATAAAAAGATGTTTATTATACTTAAGTTCAGGGCAAAACGAATTCTATATTTTTTCTATGTTGAGTATAATAATAATAATACTGAAGTAAAAAAATTAATAAGATGACGTATATGTGAAGATATAAAAAATAACAGTGATTACATACGTACGTATATATTGTATATATTTATAGGTATTCTCTTTAGCATCAATGTTCCGATTCGAAAAGAAGATAAATACGAAAAGTGAATAAATCAATTAAACAAACAATTATATGATAAAATAGATTTAGAAATATAGGACGGGTAATATATATATATACATTAATATGTAGATCGTACGTAGGATCGCGTTATTATCTTCAAATAAAAATGGAAAAAAAAATAATACAAGTCTGATCGAGAGTCGTGGCGAGGTGTATAGTTCTAAATCCGTAATACCAAAATGCGTGGGTGGTGTTATTGTTAGATGTGCAAAAAAATGTTTTCTTTGTCGGGTAGAGCGTACGGGGAACGGCGAGACATGAAAATAGGGAGAGAAGGAAAAAAGCAGATAAAGGTTCGATGGATAAAATGGAGTGGTAGCGCGAGTTTTTAAAGCCATAAAAAAGCAGGAAAAAGTAACGGACTAGCCGAAAAAGAATTTTTAATAAATAGACATGTAAGAATCCGTTAGAAGAAAATAATAGTAACGCATTAAAATATGAAATGTAAACAAGACTATGTACGAATATAAGGCACGACTTAGAACTGTGGTGACTGCACGAGAGAAAATCGTTCAAAGCTACTATATACGAAAAAAGAGAAATAATTACTGATAATCTATCAATTATGCTGTGAAAGCTCGAGAGTTTTTACGTGTGTAAACGTGAAAATAATCATAAAATAACAATAGTTAACGATAATCAGAATAAGACGGTACTGACATTAATAAAGGAAGAAAAAAAAAAAAAAAAAAATTAACCTCAATAGATGAGAAATAACAAATCAAAATGACGATACACGGGCGGTTGCCGGTTAAAATCAGTTGAAAATATTTACATTTCTTTCTAATTAATTGAGCGACATTTGAGTTTGAGTCCGTGTGAAAAAAGAGTGCGAGAAACAAAGTGTAAATCTGCGTCAGCGCAGGCAAGTAGTACAGATCAGCATACGGTCAGACGGTCGCGGCTAGTCGCGAATCTCCGCTAGACACTCACTTTGGCCGAGGTTCCGAGTAATCCAGTCGCTAATTCGTACCCGTTCAAATTAAGTCTGAACTCCTAGCTTTGATCCATTTATTTATTTACGATTTTTCAGTATGTAAGATGTCTTTTAACAGATAATCGTTGGAACAGTAATTGTTATTTCATGAATCTCTAATTATGTGAGTAATCAAAAAAAGTTTAAATACTTCAGAATCCTAACACAACAAATTTTAACAAATTAAAGATAATACGAGGAGCAATCGTGCGAGCCACGGGAATTGATGGACGAAAAAAGGGCATATATGTACGAGCGAAAAATTGGAAAATGTCCAACGGGTCAATTACTCCACTGCATTTATATCGCGATACCTTCGCTCGTTCGCGTTTTTTTTTTTTTTTTTTTTTATTTATCCGTCGTCAAACAATCGTCGGCCGGCTCCTTTTTTTTCTACCGTCACAAACAGATAAAACATCCAACTCTGACACACGCTTAGCTCCTCGTCTTGAAATTTTAATTTATTTTTGTTTACTTTCATTGCTAATAAATAACGCGAGTTTTCTACAATACTTAATAGAGTACATGATTCTGGGTTATGCACGATATTATGATCTTTAACTACCGATAGTTTAAAAAGAGTTATAAAAAAAAATACATTAATAAAATGACGTAAACGATAGTCCTAACGTAATTAAGAGGTATTTAAGATTATAAATAGCCATTGGCTGTGACCGATAACTGCCATTTTTCGTATGAAAAAAAATTAAAGAGAAAATCAAGTCTTAAGTAAAAAAAAATTTTCTGAATGCATTAATAATCGTAAATAAAAGTGGATGAAGTGGAGGTAATACGAAGTAACCAAAACGAACGAACGAGCAGTCCAGTCGAGTCGTGAAAATTTTGGGAGGATGAGGTAAAAACGAAGTAAAACAAAATATGAATAAAAAAAAGGGAGTCAAGGCCAGTGTTTTTTCAATCGTGCGCACATTATTCGGCTTTATGGGGAATCCATAGGTGTATGTGTATCATGTGAACGCGAATCGAGTAAAAAGAGAAGGAAATAATAGGATTTATGCGAGTATGCTAGAAAGAGATAAGATATTTGATAATTTGAAATG